AGTTGCAAGCTGCCTGACATAGGTGCTGGGCACCAAACTTGAGTCCTCAGGAAGAGTAGTGTTTGTTCTTAATCTCTCAAGCACCTGTAACTCCCAACACGAGGGGATCCAACATCCTCTTTTGGCCTCTCTTAGCATCTGCACACAGGTGCACATACACACAGACACATACATATACAAATAAATAAAAATAAAAATATTTGAGACTGGAGATATGGCTCAGCAGTTAAGAGCTCTTGCAGAGGACCTAGGTTCAGCTCCCAGCACCTACATGGTGGCTAACAACCATATGTAACTCCAGTTCCAGGGGACCCAACACCCTCTTCTGGCCTCTGTGGACATACATACATGCGGGCAAAACACTCATACACACAAAATAAAAATAAACAATTAATTAAAAAATGTTTGAGTGACCTGGCCTAAGCATGCCAACCTATGACCAATTGATTTCCTATAATTAGCTGATTCATAATTTCTAGGCAGTGAGCAATCATTCTGTCATCAAAAGAAAAGGGCCATGTATCAGGAGCACAACTATCCTAGAGAGCTGGCCTCCTCTCCAGGATGTTGCTTCCAGTAAAGTAAAACAATCTCAACACTCACAAAGTTTTCTGAGTTTGACTAACGAAGAGCTCAACTCTGTTTACCTAAATATCTTTAGCTCTTTTTTCCTTAAAAATAAAAAACCACAGCAGAGCTAAAGGCAAAACCCTATTATCCCAGCATATGAAAGAGATACTTGCATATCCGTGTTTTGTGCAGCAGCGTTCACACACAATAGCTGAGATACACAATCAGCCTAAGTGCCTGTCAGCAGGTGAACGGATAAAGGAAAAGTGGCATGTGAACACAATGCATGTTATTTAGCTATAAAGAATGAAATCTTAGATTTGACAGCAAAATGCATGGAACTAGAGGACATTAAGTGAAATAAGTAGACACATAAAGGCAGGTGCAGAATGTTCCCTCTCACGAAAACAAAGTTGACTCGAAAGTACTATAGCGATTTCTAGAGACCGGAGGGTAGAACAGGGTCTCACTATGTAGCTCTGGCTGGCTGACCTGGAATTCACTATGTAGACCAGGCTGGCCTCAAACTCACAGAACTCTGCCTGCCTAATTTAAAATTTTTTAAAGTAAGGTCTCTTGGAAAAAAATATATACTATGCAATCAATGGGCTTCTCTGGACATGTCAATAACTAATTAGTATAATGTGATGCTGTTGAAATTTGAAGCTGTTTTGAAAAACACTCAGAGGAAAAATAGAGCAGCTAGGGAGCCTGTGGGGCCAGTTAAACTTGACTATAAAAGGGAAAAGAGAGAGGCCTTGCATGCATTTTTTTCCCAGCCCTTTCTTCCTCCTAGTTACTTTTCTTTCCCCCTGGCTCCTTTTGAATAGTTCTGGTTTTGTTTTGGCTGATGGTCTCTTGGTGCTCTGGACTGTATTGATGTCTTAGTAGTTAAGATGAATGTTTCTGGAGCCAAAGGATTCCAACCCTGGCTCTCTTGTAACCTATACAAATAACTTAACTTCTTATTATCTGTTTTCTTGTGAGCAGAATGGCCGCAATCCTCCTCTGACCTGCTGGGAGGCTGACATTCATTAAGGCAGGCTACCTGATATGTATGTAATACAGGCTCATAAATAGAAAATCATTTCTCCTTTCTCAAAGGTGCTTTTTAAAAATATTTTATTATTTTTATGTGTATGAGTGTATTGCCTGCATGTATGTGAGAGCACCAGTGTCGTGCATTGCTGCGGAAGTCAGAAGAGGACTTCGGATTCCCCTAGAAATGGAGTTAAGGACAGTTCGTAGCCGCCATGTGGGTGCTGGGAATTGAACCTGGGTCCTCTGCAAGAGCAGTCAGTGCTCTTAACCGCTGAGCCATCTCTCCAGCCCCCTCAAATGTGCTTTTAAGGCTATAGAGCATGGCCACACAGAGGACCTCACTGAACTTCCACCCCACCTCCACCCCTACCCCCTTCAGAGAGGTAATCAACATACAGAGGTGAGAAACAACTTGCCACAAACTACGGGGTCTCCGTCCAATGTTTGCCTGCTACACGGGGTTGCCATGTATGTTGGTTAGTTTTTGTCAACTTGACACAAACTAGAGACACCAGGAAAGAGGGCATCTCAACTAAGGAATTTCCTCCACTGGACTGGCCTGTGGCCATGTCTGTGGAACATTTTCTTAACTCAAGTAATTGATGAAGGCGGGCCAAGCCCAGTATGGGCGGTGCTGTCCCTGGGCAGGTGGGCCTGAGCTGTATGAAGAGGGTAACTGAACAAGCCAGGGGAAGCGATCCAGTACGCGTGTTCTTCTGTGGTCTGTGGTCTCTGCTTCAGTTCAAATGTTTCCTCACAGCAACAGCAATCAAACTAGGACACCATGTTTATGCAATTCAGAGACCCTATGTAGAGTACACAACCTATACAGTGAAAAATCTTCATGGTACAAAAAGGTTTTCTAGTAGCAGTAGGACTCTCTCCTGCCTCAGTCTCCCACCCACTCGCTTTCCCTCGTTTCCAGACTTGCTCATGTGGATATTTAAATGCACTAGTGTCCTTATGGCCAGTATTCTCCAGTATTCTCCAGTAAATAATGGGGGGTAATATGAAAGTCAAGACTATCAGCACAGTATATGTTTAAGCTTCAGGTCTAAGTATGGAAAGTAGACGCTTCGTATTGAGACGAAAGAGGGAAAAAAAAATTGAAGCACACCTTTAATCCTAGCACTTGGGAGGCAGAGGAAGGCAGATCTCTGTGAGTTCAAGGCCAGCCTGGTCTACATAACGAGTTCCAGGTCAGCTGGGGCTAAGGGAAGACCCTGTCTCAAAAAGATTAAAAAAAATAAAAAATCATTGGCCAGGCTTTGTGGGACCTGTAGGAAGCTTCTGGAACAATGCCACAAAAACCAGGAAGCTGTTTCAGTGCTGCCACTGCAGCGCCCTCTCCACACTCGCTAAGCTGGTGTTTGGACACTGGCACAGAGCATTCAGCTTCCCCCTTCACAGCTAATGTATCTCAACAACTCCAAGGCCAGAAATTGGACGCTGGAGCGGCAGAAAACCACTGTATCTTCACAACCTTGCTGGCCAAATGAGATCAACACAGTCAATTGCCTTTGCCTTGTTTTCTTTTTCCTAATCTCACGAAAGCATGTCTGACTAATTATATTCAAATTTATAGTTGGGGGATTAGTCACTTTTCTGTTGCTGTGATAGAAACACTGACCCAAGCAATTTATAGAAGGAAGGGTTTATTTGAGCTTACGGTTCCAGGGGAATTACAGTCTGTCATGGCAGGGAGGTGGCTGGAGGTGGCTGGAGCAGGAGCAGCAGAAGTGAAGCTCTCACATCATCACGCAGGCAGAGGAAGCAAGAGGGCAACTGGAGATCCTGCAAGGCTTAAGAATTCTCTAAGCCCACCCCCAGTGACGTGCTTCCTCCAGGATAGCCACACCTTCTAAAACCTCCCAAAACAGCACCATCATCTGGAGACAAAATATCCAAACACTGGAGCCTATGGGGGACATTCTCATTCAAACCACCACAGGGGAGATTCTGGGAAATGTAGTTGTCTTGAAGGCTTATACACTAGTGAAGCAAAGAAATCAGAAAGGAAGGGCTCAGATGGCAGAATGCTTCCCTAGCATACTTCATCCCCAGAACCTCAAAAACTGGACAGGGTGGTATAGGCCTGTAATATCAGCACTCAGGAGGTGGAGGTTTGAGGGCTAAAAAATGTAAGTCAGGGCTGGAGAGATGGCTCAGCGGTTAAGAGTACTGGCTGTTCTTGCAGAGGACCTGGGTTTGATTTCTAGCACTCACATGGTGGCTAACAACCGTTCCTAACTCCAGTTCCAGGAGATCGGACACCCTCGTCTGAGCTCTGAGGGCATTGTATGACATGGGTGCACTTACATATATGCAGGCAATACACTCATACACATATAATAAAAATTATATATATGTCAGAAAGGAGTCTGTCCAACTATCATTCTAACATGGTGCCTAGTTTCCAAGGGAAAGCACATCTGTATCTATCGGCTTATACTTCCATTTCTTTCTGCTTCTTGTCTTCTTTTATTTTCTTCCTTAAAGGATGCTAGTGACTCCTACCATGTTGAACAATCACTACCTCAGTAGGAAAATTTTATCGGTTTTGTTGAAGTTTCTGACTCCCAGTCAGGTTCTGAAATGCCGGGCTTTTTTTCCTTTCCTTGTCCCCTTAATTTCCTAGTTTTAATCCTGCCTTTGTTCTAGAGGTTTCCACCTGTGGCCATTGGGTGCTGTTGCTTTACCTGTTGTGACAACACAGGACATCATGGCAGAGTGTGTGGTAGAAATGTGTTCATTTCATAGTAGCCAGGAAGGGGAGGATAAAAGAAGAGGGAGAGAGAGAGGGAGAGACTGGTTTGCCCCTTCAAAGACACACCTCCACTGTCCAAACCTTCTGTGGCCCGAATTCCCTCTGGCTCTCCTGCACTATCAGACAAACCATATAATATATTTTATGTGCATTTGTTAACTTACACAGGAATGAGAACCCAGTGCCTAGCTCCATGCCTCAGCGCCCGGCTCAGAGCCCGCCATATCAGGCCCCACCACGACTACCACAGTCCCCACTAGCATTCGCTCACACCTCAGGGGCCAGCGATCTCACCCCAGGTCCACAAGAGTCAGTCCATTCTGTCTTTGAGCTGCTGTTGGCTGAACGTTCCCCCACACTACCCATGCTACCCGGGGCTCCCGGCTTCCATCCACAAGACAGCTCCCAGCAAGCAGCCCCTTCGTAGTCCACACTCTGCATCAGGCCCGGTCCATTGGAGGAACTAGCCAATTGAGAGACACCTTCCTTCCACTAAGCTCACCACCTTACAATAAGACCAAGCTTTCAACACATGCGTAGCAATAGCTAACGCCAGGAAGTGTGAGGAAACTGTCAATATGAAATTTTACTTTGTGACTTGTTTTTCAGACTCCCATCTATCATGACTGCCATCCGATTAAGAGAATTTGTAGAGTATCGCCCAATGATTCCACCCAGGTAACATTCTGGCTTTAAAGCCTCCTGGGGCTGAGAAAGGCAGGCCCCTGTAGAATTAGAATCACTGAGCAGAAACTTTAGTGAAGCTTCTTTGAGTTTAGAGAAAGGTTTTTTGTTTTTTTTTTTTTTTAAAGCTCTCTTAACCACTGAACCATCTCTCCAGCTCTAAGTTTAGGAGAAAATTTAGGGGGGAAAAAATCATGTTCGGTCCCCACCACCAAAAACAAACAAAATCAATTGGAACAGTTTCTGAAAGATCTAGACACCACTGTAGGGTCTCATCCTGCCCAGAAAGACATCAACATCTAACACAGAAGGGACATTTTAGTCACCAGCCTCAACTGTCTCACTTCCTTTTTCACCATCCATCATTAATGAAGATAATAGCTCTCATTCCCAGCTCCGCCCCCTGCTACATTCCTTGATACCATGGAAGCCAGTAGAGCCCAGGCAGTGAGAGTATGAACTGGCAGTCTCCCAGGCCTGCCTTGAATCCCATCTTCCGCATGCATTACTTCACATCCTTACCCCGAAGCTTCAGTTTTCCAACATGTTACAGCACTCAGCATATTGTGATGAGGGCATTGCCTGAGTATGGTTTTCTGTACCGGGTGATGAACTTTGGGGAGAAGACAATACTTCCATCAGCATATCCCCATGCTGAGCACACTGCAGACACATCAAAACTTATAACTGCGCTTTTGACCAAATCAAAAACAGCTTTTCCTGTCCTTTTAGTACATTATGTTTACTTGCTGTCTGCCCATAAGTGGGAAAATCACAGAGTCCAAACAGAAATAGTGTCGAGCTCTTCAGGAAAAAAAAAAAAAAAAGCCATACTCTGAATATGATGTGGAATTTAAAGACTGGGTTTGAGTCACAGCTCTGGTATTTACTAGCTGGACAGTATTTAAGAAGTCTTCTTAACCTCTCTGAGCCTCTTTTGCCTACTACTAAACCAGGAAGCTCTTTAGATTTACCCTGCAAGGTGCCTGAGAATCAAATGTGATCATCTCTTTAAGGCAGGAGGCCCAGCAAAGGTGTGACTCAGAAAGGAACAGTGACAGTGACATGGTTACCTCCAGCAGTGGTTCAGGGTGGACAGACGAACACCCTGGCCTCACCCACATATACTGAACACTGTCTGTGGCTGAGTCCAGATCCTGCTCCAGTTACAGTCACTCTCCCAGGGGACAGGATGCATCTCTTCAGGGAGTCAAGCTGTCAGGGATTTGTAAATAATGCACGGAGGAACCAGACACAGCCAGATCACTCATTCCCACTAGAGGAGGAAGAGAATGCTTTCTCTGGTGGACTTAGATATCTTGAAAGCCAAGACTGTAATCCTGTGAGCAGAGCCCTGCTCCTGGAACCTTAGGCGTGTCAGAAAGGCTGTGTGGGGCATTCATAGTCATGCATCCTTTGCCTAGTGCCTAACTCAGAGGAAAACCTGAGTGCTTAATGCACAGCTCCTGGCTAGGCTAGGCATTTCCCCTTAAACAGGAAAAAAAATTTTTTTTTAAAAAAAACCCCAACAAACCCACTACTTTAATCTCTGAATCAGAAACTTAGTGTTCCAAGTGAAGGTCATATGTGAGAACTTGGAAAACTCAACAAAGAGTCAGAGGGAGCTGGGCATGGTAGAGAAAACCCCATAATCCTAACACTCGGGGTGCTGAAGCAGGAGGATCATGGGTTTGAGGCCAGTCTGGGCAACTCAGAGAGACTCTGTCTCAAAATAAAAATAAAAAGGGATTGTGGAGGCTGGAGAGATGGCTTAGTGGTTAAGAGCACTGACTGCTCTTGCAGAGGAGGGATTGTGGAGGCTGGAGAGATGGCTTAGTGGTTAAGAGCACTGACTGCTCTTGCAGAGGACTAGGGTTTGATTTCCAGCACCCACATGGCAGCTACGAACCATCCTTAACTCCAGTTCCAGGGGAATCTGAAGCCCTCTTCTGACCTTGAGGCATTGCACGACATGGGTGCACTCATATACATGCAGGCAATACACTCATACACATAAAATAAAAATAATAAAATATTTTTTTAAAAAAGGGATTGTGGATGTGGCTCAGTGACAGAACACCTGCTTAGCGTGCATAAGGCACCAAGGCCCTGGGTTCAACACTCAGTGCTGGCAAAGAGGGAGGAGGGGAGGAAAGGAAAAGGGAGGGGAGGGAGAGGGAGAGAGGAGAGGAGAAAAGAGGTGAGGCAGGAGGAGGGTTGAGGAAGGGGAAGGAGGGGAGGGAGAGAGAAGGGGAGAGAGGAGAAAAAGAGGTGATGAGAAAGGGGGAGGGAAGGGACAGGAGGGGGAAGGGGGAGGGGAGCACAGGGAGGGGAGAACCATGAGAACCACTGTGTGCTGGGCCCCATGGCTCCTCCTGAACTGTAGCTTGGCCCTAGGGGAGTCCTTCCAAGGCGGTGCTCAGAAACTGGACACTTGCCTAAGAAAGCACCATCTCTGCCTCCCAGGTCATTTGTTCCCCATTTCTCTGCCAGCTTCTCTCTTCTCTTATGACTTAATCCCACTGCTGTAACTCGGGCTCACTCACTTTATCCCAGCCGCTGGGCAGGCCCAGACAGCCTCTGGTTATTCAGAAAACTAGAGCTCCCTGAGATCCTGTTTACATAGACAGATCCTGCCCTGCCCAACCCTTGCCTTGATTCACACTACCCAGCCAGGCACACTCTGACCCCTGCAATCACTCAGATCTTAAATGGCCTCCAGAGGCTGGTATGTTGAAGGCCTGTCCACCTGACAGTGGTGCTATGAACATCTTGCTTCACTACACTCTCCTATCATGACATATTGTACAGCTACAGCAGCAGGGCCAATTAATTAGCCATGGACTGAACCCATGAGGCAAAATAGCCTTTCTTTTTGAGTTGATTTATCTCAGTTATTTGTTATGGTAACAAAAAAAATAACACAGTCACACACACTCTACTCTGAACTCAATTTTGACTTTGTCTTGGCTTCTGTAATTCCCCTCCCCTGGAGGCTCTTCCCCATCCCCACTGCCCACGCAAACCTGGACACCTCTCTTTGGTGTCCCATCAGCTCTTCCTTCAATCTCTGTCAATAGGTTTCTTTGATGTGTTCATATTACAGCCTTTCTGTAAGTTTTTTTCCCCTTCACTCTCCACTCTGTTCTCTCGCCTCAGGACTACCAATGATATATAGGTGCCTAAAGACTCATCTAAAGTTTCCACAACTTCCCAGCAGCACCAAGGGAGCCAAGGATTCAATACGTGGGAAGCACTCAATATGCCGTTGATAGCACTACTGACTTCCATTTATACAAGCACATCTCATGCTCACACCCCAGACGTATTCCTTCCCAATCCCCACCCTGTTAGCTCACATTTATGATTCAAAACAACAGCCAAGATGGTGGTGTACACTGGTAATCCCAGTACTCAGGAGCTGAGGCAGGATGATGATGAGCTCAAAGCCAGCCTAGGGTACAGAGAGACCCTGTTCTTCCTTACAATCCAGCTTTCCTAGGCAAAGCTAAAGTCCACCTCCCAGGCTTACAAGTACTTCATTCTTTGACACTACAGTCCTGCTTTATTTCAGCTTCTATATAATTAGTTAATACAGTTAAATAAGATGTAAACATTTCAAAAGTTAAAATAGGGATCCCCAAGACTGGAGAGATGGCTCAGTGGTTAAGAGCATTGACTGGTCTTGCAGAGAACCCGGGTTTGATTCCCAGCACCCACATGGCAGCTATGAACCACCTTAACTCCAGTTCCAGGGGAATCCGAAGCCCTCTTCTGACCTCCACAGCATTGCACGACACGGGTGCACTCACATACATACATGCAGGCAATACACTTGTACACATAAAATGAAAATAAAAAAAGAGATCCCCATTTATTTATTCCTATGTTTCAACAACTATTAACATTTGTTCCATTGACTTTAGATATTTCTCCTTCCTTCCTTCCTTCCTTCCTTCCTTCCTTCCTTCCTTCCTTCCTTCTTTCCTTCCTTTCTTCCCTTTTCCCCACCCCTTTTTCTTTCCCTACTATTTTGAACCTAATACCTGACATGTTAAACATTTCCTTATGAATCCTGGAAATAAATAACATTTTATTATAGATACTGGAGGTTGTAGGGGGAGACCAGCCACAAGATGCTTGTTATGTAGTGTCAGTGGAGTACTCAGCCAGCCAAAACTGGGACATATATATTGCCATCCTCCAAAGGCTCAGAGACCATTGAGGAAGAGGGGGCAGAAAGACTGTAAAAGCCAGAGATCTGGGAAGATCAGAAGAAAACAGTGTCTTTTGGACATAGCAGGGTAGCTGCGACTCATGAACTCATAGTAGCTGTGGTTGCCTGCACAAGACCTACAGAAGATCAAGCCAGTCAACATTCTTGTATGGAGGGAAAGGGGAGCCTGAGCTCCCAGCCCTAGTTGAGGGGCTATGGAAAATCAGTGGCTTCTGGGGGAGAGAGAAGTCAGTTTTCTTTAAGGGTGTGGTTCTGGTAGGTTGACCTTGCTCCAGTGATGGCCCCACACCCAGAAGCACAAATAGGAATAAACGGATTATTTAAAAAAGAGGACACCAAGTTGGGGGGTGGTAAGGAGGTGAGGGTGAAGATGGGAGGAGTTACAGGGAGAATATGATCAAAATACAGTGTATGAAATTCTCAAAGAATTAATAAAAATATACTTTTTAAGATGCTTGTTATGGGTAACAAAAGACATCGTCTGGAAAGTCCACTGGTTTTAGTTGCCCAAAACAGGGGACCAAGTCTAGATACATTTCCTATCATATAACAGCTGGTCTGTATCTATAAAGAACCAATAATAATGACTGGTTCTTTCTCGCCTTCTTTCTCAACTAGTGTGTTCAATCACTGAGGAAAGGACATCCAAGGCTATTACCCAGGGCAACTGGCAAGGGTCCACTTCGATGACAGTATGAAGAGGGCTCCCAGGTGGGACATGTTTCTGAATCTCAGTCACCAAGAATGTCACCAAACCTAAATGATGAGCGGGGGGGGGGCTGTACAATGCATGTAAATAACAAGTATTACTTAATGGATAGAAAAGGGGTGGAAGGAAATAGGACAAACTATTAAAAAATGTTGGGGCTTCCTTGGTTTGGGTTTTGTGGGAGTTCTTTTGGTGCTGGAATGGAACCCAAAGTCTCATACACATGCAGCATGAGACCCATCCTTGAACCACATCTCTAACCCCAACAACATAGGGCTTTGTTTTCATTTTTTCACAAATGATATTATTAGTATTTCATATTTTACTTTTTAATCTTTTCCCTATTTTACAGATTCTTCTCAAAGGAACATATATTAGTTTCACAACCAGAAATAAACAGAATTTTATTAAGTATTGAATGAAGTTAAGAAATCTTTACATGTTTAGAACTTCAGAATGGTCAAATAACTTACTGAGATTCAATTTCATTCTCAGTAAAGAGGTGATTATAAATTTGATCTACATGATTTCTAGGTATGCTTTCACAAAAATAAAAGCAAAAAATAAAAACCACAGACATGGGGCTGAAGAGACGGCTCAGAGGTTAAGAGCATATACTGCTCTTGCAGGTGAATTTAGTTCCCAACACTCAGGCTGGGAGGCTCACAACTGACTATAACTCTAGTTCCAGAGGGGATCCAGTCCCTGCGTGTGCACACACACACACACACACACACACACAAAATAAATAAATAAAACAAAACAAAAAAACAGAAACACCACACTTTGCACACTTTGATCTTATTTTCTGGTTCTAGGAGGCAAGAAACTATAGTAAGTAACAGCAGTGATCTGAGGAACTTATGAAATATTCAAATATTTAGGGCGATTTTCATTCCTTCTCTGAGTATTGGTAGCCTTTCTGCTAAATAAAAGAACTGATGTAAAATTCTGAGACACAGTGAACACTCAGTATGATCACTATCATTTGAGGTCATTATCTATGTATATGACAATTTCCCTTCTCTTAGTTGACTTTGATATAGCCAACCTCCAATTATCCTTATGCAGAGGTGGGGGTTGATGTGCCACCTGTATTTAGACAACATACAACCTATATTTAAATTATAAAACTTGAAAATAGCTCTGAGGTCATTCCAATCCAGTCAGAATACAGCATGCAGAAGTGATATGTCTTTTTTTTTTTTTTTTTTTACAGATTTATTAATTGTGTATGTATATTATGTCCTGTCTTGTCATGCCCAATGCATGTGTGGAGGTCAGAGAACAATTTTTGGGAGTCAGTTCTCTCCTTCCATTATGTGGGACCTGGGAATTGTGGGTTGTCAGGCTTTACCCCCGAGCCATCTCACTGACCCAAGAGACATGCCTTGACTAAGGCCACACAGTATAAATGTTGGACTTAAAACTGAATTCACAGCTGGGTGTGGTGGTGCGTACCTTTGATCCCAGAACTCAGGGGGCAGAGGCAGGCAGATCTCTGTGAGATCAAAGCCATTCTGGTCTACATATTAAGTTCTAGCCAAGCTGGGGTTAAAGGGCAACGCTTTCTCAAAAAAGACCAAAAAAAAAACAAACAAAAAAAAAAAACAAAAAACTTTTAGCCACAGTTACTGAGTCCCAGTTAAGCCTCTTAATACTAATGCAAGTATTTGCTTAGAGTAAGTTCTGCATTTAAAATCTTTGAAACAAGGTCTCAGTTTCCTGGTCTCAAATTCAAGCTGAGCTCAAGTATTCTTCCACTTCAGCCTCCGGAGTCACCATACTTCATTTAATAAACTATTTAAAATGAAAAGAAAAAAAAAATTTAGGCAGGGTCTCACTAAATAGCCCTGGCTGGCCTGGAATTCGTTATGTAAACCAGGCTAGCCTGAACCTCATAATGATCTGCCTGCCCCTGCCTCTGCCAAGTGCTGGGACTAAATAAAGGTGAGCAATACCACACCTGCTTTAATAAACTCCTGTTAGAGCTAAGTCCTCTACTAGAACACATATGAGAGGAATCGACAGGCAGAGTAGACATGGCCCAACTGCACAGAGACGCCCTCTGAGGTGCTTTCCCTCCCCTTATCTGGTCATCGTATCCTGCCAGACAGACTGATGTCTAAATATCAGTGTTCTCACCGAAGACTGGCTCCCTTAAAGGTCATTTGGTTCTGACAAGACTTGTGTCTACCCAAGATTAGCCTTCAGATGTGCATGTCAGTTTATACATTTATTAAGCATCTAGACAAGAAGAAGAAAGGCCTGGAGGTGTTGCTCTTAGAATCAGTCCCAAATAATTTATCTTTTGTTTTCTGTCTTGTTGGGGAGAATTTTTAAAACAATGACATTTATTGTTTACACCCAATCTTATTCCAAGATGGAGAAAAGAATCCTGAAAAGGGGGCTGGAGAGCTGACTCAGTGCTGGAGAGCACTGGCTGGCTGCTCTTGTAGCGGACCTAGGTTTGGTTCCCAGCACCCACATGGTAGCTAACAACTCTCTATAACTGCAGTTCCAGGGGATTTGACACTCTCTTTTGGCCTTCATGGGCATCACATGCATGGGTGTACTTACATACACGCAGATAAAACACTCATAATTAAAAAATCCCACTATGGGCAGTGCCTCCCCAGGCAGGTGGGCCTGGCCTATTAAATAAGGTAGCTCAGCAAGCCAGGGAGAGCAAGCCAGTAAGCAGAGTTCCTCCTTAGTTTCTGCTTCAAGTTTCTACCTTGAATTCCTACCTTGGCTTCCCTAGGTGATGAACTGTAACCTGTAAACCAATTAAGTTCTTTCCTCTCCCCGCCCTCCAAAACAAAAAAAGAATTCTGAAAAACTGAAATGAATCATGAATTTGTATGTCATCTTTGTGGGAGGGGCCATGCTATTCACTGCATTATTCCAATTGTTCCTGTGCTGCCTAAGCAAGCACCTTAGTTATTGGGACCTCAGTGTAACCAGAGATGTCTAATAGCTTGCCCTCCCCAGATACATTCCTCCACCAATTCAATGTTCTGGTATTAGAATCCTTCCTTTGAGTGAAGGTCTTGCCTTCCGACAGACACTGATGCATTATTTGAAAGGGGAGAATACAGGGCTGGAGAGATGGCTCCGTGGTTAAGAGCACTGCCTGCTGTTACAGAAGACATGGGTTCAAATTCCAGCACCCACATGGCAGCTAGTAACTGTCCATAAGTCCAGTTCCAGGGGATCTGATACTCTCTTCTGTCCTCCACAGGCAATGCATGACACAGGTGCACTTACATGCATACAGGCATAGCACTTATACACATGAAATAAAAATAAATTTAAGGAAATTTTTAAAAGGGCGAATACCTTCATTCTTTTGGTTTTTGCAGTGCTGGGGACTGAACACAGGGCCTGTGCACGCTAGCAAGGGTTCTACTGCTGATCTACATCCCCAGCCTAACATTCTCATTCCTAAGAAACACTCATGGCAAAGGCAGGGACAGGCTGGCAGCCTAGCAGGATGTTTCAAGGGCTGTCACCAGATTCAGAAGTCAGACCCATCAGTGGCTCAGACAGAAGTGATTGAACTGGGTCATGTGGCACCCAAAGCTACAGGAAACTAATGTGTTCACCAGTTAATGTTCTGATGGACAGAGGGAGAAGACACACTTCATAGGAAGACTATTCCCAACCACTGCTTAAGGCAGCTCCTTACAAGCCAAGTAACTGTTAACCATCGTGTAAGAACAAGAACTAGGAGTGTGTCCTCATTACATTGCTGTTGCTATGGTAAAACTCCATGACCAAGGCAACTTAGAGGGAAGAGTTTACTGGGCTTATGGTTCCAGGGTGGTAAGAATTCATCATAGCAGAGAAGGCATGGCAGGAGGCAGCTGGAGCAGAAAGCTGAGAGCTTACATCTTCAAAAGGGCACAGAGCAGAGAGAAACTGCAATTGGGGCAGGCTATGAACTCTCTAAGCCCACCCCCAATGACGTACTTCCTCCAGCAAGGTCGCAACTCCTGAACCTCCCCAAACAGTGCTGTCAACTGACCAAGTATTCAAATATGGGCATACGGGTGACATTCCTCATTCAAGCCATCACAGAGTGAGTGGATATTCTAATGTTTTTCCAGGCCCATCTACCATAGAGAACTCCTCTACCTACCCAGCATCTCTTCCCACTCAGTACCTCATAAGCTCAGTCAGATTCTTAGTCTTACTTTTGCTTTTTGTTTTGTTGTTGTTTTGAGACAGAGACTCACTATGTAGCCCAGGTTGGGTTCATACCTGTTATCTTCCTGCCTCAGCCTCTCAAATGCTGAGATTACAGAGAAGCCCCACCATGTCTGGCTTTTTCTAAACTTCGAGCAGAACCATTCCTTTTCTGTCGACCCTCCCTCCCTCCCTCCCTCCCTTCCGCCCCAGGTAGCCTGGAACTTACTATGTGGATCAGGCTGGCCTTGAACTCACAGAGATTCACCTGCCTCTGCCTCCCAAATGCTGGGATTAAAGGCATGTGCCACCATGCCTGGCGTCTTTAAATTTTTAAAAAATTTATCTAGTTTTATTTTATGTGTAGGTGTGCTTTGCCTGCATGTAAGTGCACATGCATGTAATACCCACGGAGGCCAGAAGGGGGAGTTGGATCCCCCTGTAACTGGAGTAATAGGTGATTGTTAGCTTCCATATGGGCACTGGGAACTAAACTCAGGTCCTCTGCAAGAGCAACTAGTGCTTTTAACCACTGAGCCATCTCTCTGACCCTGACACAATCTTTCTTTAAGAAGGCGTATTACAATTACTGTTTTTACCTAATTAGACAAACACTGAATTTTTTCTCTTGCAGTTCTGTGTGGAGAGCCACAGCCTCCGCCGCCATTACAAGATGGCGCCGGTATCCGGACCTTCTTAATAGTAAACATCCTGCTGCACCCATAAGGGGCGTGCACAAGAGCCTGCTCTCCCTCGCCTCCTCCCGTGGCGTGATCTCCAGCAACCAATCCGCTTCTTATACGTCATAAATGGGACCTTTAGGGCATATATAAGCAACAGCTCTCCCACTTCTCGGCGTCTTCGGTCTTCATCCTTAGTATGCTATGTAAGAGGCTTATGAAATAAACTGCTGCAGAAGGATCCTGACTTGTCCTCCCGCGTCGTTCTTGCCGGCGAGACGGAAAGCGGTTGGGGACAGCTGGTGCTGAAACCCGGGAATCAACATCGCTGGCGCCGCCCGAAGACCCCTCCAATAGGAGCCTTTGTAATTCTGCTTCTTACCCTATGCCTCCACGTGGGTTACTGTCAGGAAGTTATGGAGGAAGGGCAAATGGTTCTAGAGGATCTCCAGGACAGCCTATCAGAAACCGAATGAAGTGAAAGGATGGGAGCACGTGCAAAAGAAAATAGGGCCCAAAGTGAAAATGGACCTCCTGGTAAGCCAGAGGAAGGCAGGGGAGAGAGCACTGTCGAAAAGGACGGAGCAAGAAACCAAGTAACAGGTTTTAGACAGGGAAGAAATTTACCAAAGGGGTATTTATACCCCACAAGGGAACTTGCTGCTCTGCAGTTAGAAGAGAGCAGTTTAAGCCCAGAAGAAGAGATAGAATTAGAAGAACAAGCAGCAAATTATGAAGAAAATAGATACAGGCCACTGGAATATAAGAACCCAGTGCCCTATGTTCTGGGGCAAGGGGCTGCTACTGCCCCCCCACCTTATTCAATGCAGCCATCTTGCTCACTCCTTTCAAAAACTGTGAGGAGAAAGTTAGGCATGGCCTTCCCAGTCTTTGAAGCACCCATAGAAGGGCAAGAAGGCATGGGACGGATCTATGCACCTATAGACTATAATCAAATAAAAGAATTGGCTGAAGCAGTAAGAAAATATGGAGTGAATGCAAATTTTACTTTAGCACAGCTAGACAGACTGGCAAGAGATTCTATGATGCCTACTGACTGGCAAACTATTGCAAAGGCTATGCTTAATAGCATGGGCCAATTTTTAGAGTGGAAGGCGCTATGGTATGAGGCTGCACAAGAGCAAGCCCGAATCAATGCAGCCTCCTTAACCCCTGAACAACAACAATGGACATATGAAATGTTAACAGGACAAGGAAGATATGCAAATGAACAAAATACTTATGCCTGGGGAGCCTATCAACAGGTTTCCATGACGGCAATTAGAGCATGGAAAGCTTTAACTAAAAAGGGAGAAGGAGCAACCCAGCTAACCAAAATTATACAGGGCCCACAGGAATCATTTTCAGATTTTGTGGCCAGGATGACCGAGGCAGCAAACAGAATTTTTGGAGATTCAGAATCTGCAATGCCTCTTATTGAGCAATTAGTTTTTGAACAAGCAACACAAGAATGCCGTAATGCCATTGTCCCTCGAAAGGGTAAAGGATTACAAGATTGGTTAAGGGTATGTAGAGAGTTAGGGGGCCCATTATCTAATGCAGGGCTGGCGGCAGCTATAATGCATATTGCCAAAAATGCTCCTCAAGGAAGAGGCAAAGGACCTTGTTATCAATGTGGCAAAATGGGACATTTTAAAAAAGACTGCAAGAGTGCAGCCCCAAATAATCTTACAACTAAAATCTGCGCTAGATGCAGAAAAGGGGCACACAAGGCCGAGAATTGTAGATCTATAAGAGATATTGAAGGGAAACCTTTGGTTCCCCCAAGGCCTTGGAAGAGCCCAAAGCAAGAATTTAAGCCAAAAAACGAGATGAGGGGCCTTGTGTATGTCAGGCAAGCTGTCTACCACTGAACTACATCCCCAACCCTGCAACACTATTATTATGAAGCAGTTCATCAGCATCATCAACTGTGACTATACACTATTCACCCTGATTGGATCCAGATGCTCTTAAATCTCAACCAACACTGTATTTTCAGTTATAGCCACTCACCTCACCTCTTTCATAGTTTAATATACACATTTATTGGAACATTTGGAAAATATTGACAATAGAAAAGGACAGCTTGGGGGCTGTGACATGCTCAGTGGTTAAATACTTGTGGGTCCAGTGTGAGAATCAGAGCTGAGATCCCCAGACCCCATGTAATGTCAGGTGAACATGGCGGTCTTCCTGTAATTCCAGCCCAAAGTAAGCTGGCTAGGGAGACTAGCCATACCGGTGAGTTCTGGTTTTGATTGAGACCCTGCCTCAATGTGTAAGGTGGAAAAGGTATTAAAGTTGGTTCTTGATTGCAACCTTGGGCCTCTACACTCAGGTGGTGCATGCACACACATGCATGTGTACCCACATATGATCAAAACATGTACACATACACACACATGCCCACCATACACACATGAAAACGGAAAAAAGAAAAAAGGGGAAATGTTGAAAATTACTCATAATCACGCAGAAATCACCAGAATCCCTCCCATGAAAATCGGGGCATTGTCAGTGCACACTGAGCACTGTGGTGGCAATCTGAGAACTGTCATGACACACTGGGACACTGTGATGGCACACTGTAAACTGTAATGTCTCATTGGAGCATTGTGTTGACAAATTGCAGCATTTTGATTGCACACAAGGGTATTGTGATGGTACTTTGAGTTATGACGTATTGGTGCATTGTGAGGGCACACTGAGCACTGTGATGACACATTGGGTGAATGCGATGGCACACTGTGCACGGTGATGCTCATTGGAGCATTATGATATCACATTGCAGCACTGTGATGTCACAATGGAACACTGAGAAATCACATATGAGCCTTGTGATGGCACATTGGAGCAATATAATGGCACATGGGGCGATAGTGCTGGCACATTGGAGCATTGTGATGTCACAATAGAACATTGAGAAGTCATATAGTAGCATTGTCATCACACATTGGACCAATATTTTGGCACTTGGGGAGAGAGTGTTGGCTCATTGGAGCATTATGATATCACATTGGAGCATTGTGATGTCACAATGGAACACTGAGAAGTCATATATGAGCCTTGTGATGGCACATTGGAGCAATATAATGGCACATGTGTCCATAGAGTTGGCACATTTGAGCATTATGATGTTACAATGGAACAATGAGAAGTCATATTGTAGCATTGTGATGGCACATTGGATCAATATATTGGTTCATCGGGCAAGAGTGTTGGCTCATTGGAGCATTGTGATATCACATTTGAGCATTGTGATGTCACAATGGAACATTGTGAAGTCATATTCTAACAATGTGATGAAAAAGTGTAGCAATATAATGGAACATGTGGCAATAGTACTGGAAATCAGAGCATTTTGGTGTTATATTGGAATATGGTGATGGTACATTAGACAATTTGAAGTCCCACTGTAACATTGTGATGGAACACTCGAGCAATATAATGGCACATGGTGCCATAGTATAGGCAGATTGGAGCCAGATTGGAGCATTGTGAGGTCACACTGGAATTTTGTGAAGTCATATTGTAACATTGTGATGGCACCATGGAGCATTTTGATGGCACATGTGATAGTGTTGGCACATTGGAGCATTGTGATGTCACGTTGGAGCATTATGATGTCACCATTGTAGCCCTTGCCCTTGCTGGCCTCGAACTCACTGAACTCACTATAGGCTGGCCTTGATCTCACAGAGATCCACCTGCCTCTGCTTCCAGAGTGCTGGGACTAAAGGCGTGTACCACCATGCCTGGCCTCATTTCTTCACTTATTTTTCAATAATGACTTCCAAAGGAGGCACTGCCACAAACCCACATGGATAACTGCTTTTTGTTAAATGTTAGGAATATATAATATAGGGCTGGAGAGATGCCTCAGAGGTTAAGAGCACCAACTGCTCTTGCAGAGGACCTGGGTTGGGTTCCCAGCACCCACATGGCAGCTAACAACCATCTGTAACTCCAGTTCCAGGGGATCTGACACCCTCTTCTGACCTTTGTGGACACTGCATAACACAGAATGCTTACATACATGCAGACAATACACTCATACACATAAAAAATAAAAATATTTTATAAAGAATATATATAAAAGTTTGCTTTATACAATTCTGTCCCTAGATCTCCAACCTACAGAGCATATTTGTAACTCAGTGACATTCACTCATGACATTTGTTGTGGTCACATGGTTAAATGTGTGTGACTCAGCTCTATCATAGTAAATCCCACAGCAAGAATCACTGTGAGTTGCTGAACACTTCTCATACTTGTAAAGTACTTGAATGTATTTCACTGGGATACAGCATCAATTCTCAAGGCCATAATTGTTCTTTCACTCTGTAATAAACCTTGAGGAGTCAGACAGTACTGACTCCAGACAGGATCACATGGGAATAAAAACATAATTTCTAGCCAGCTGTGGTGGCATTAGGGAAGCAGAGGCAAACAAGATCATAAATTTGAGGCCAGCCTGGGCTGCCCAGCCAACTTCCAGCATTTCCAGGTATATACTCCCTAGATTAATGAGATATTTTCATTCCTAATATCTAGATGTCACAATGAAATCCATTTCTTTGTATGCTAACAGAAAAAAAAAAGGGTTAAGGAAATAAATGTTCATTTTTTAAATGGCTAAGGATGGTGGAACTGAACAAAGCATGGAAAGACTAGACTCTGGATCCTGATCAAACGCAGGCTCCATCTCCTATCAGCTGTGTACACTTGGGCAAATAAATTCGTGTCTTTGGGATGTGATGATGTAGGTATATTTCTGAGTTACTGTGATCTCTGGGGTTAATATATGTAAACCTTCTAACAGCACAGTAAACTTTCGTTATAATGCTATCATTGAAGTGTCCCAAGCTTTGCTTCGCTGAGCAAAGATCGTGTGTTCAATCCACGCCTTCCTTGGACCCTTCCCTTAAATGATAGAGAAGCCATGACGGGAAGGCTCTCCAGCAGCTATGAATTTAGGGATGGCAACCATTCCAGGTACAAAGATGACACAAAGTGGCCCGTTGATAATGTAGGGCTGAGAAAGTGACTCAAAAATTCAGACATCAAAATGAAAATTACATGATTGACTTCACTTTATTTACATTTTGGTGTCATCTGTCTCTGAACTAAAAACTAAAGAACTTTTGACTCGTCCCCCATCTTCCATATTTAAAATTTTTAAATTACATTTTAAATTTTATTTATTGTGTGTACTTGTGTGCACCTGCAGAGGTCAGAGGACAACCTATGGGAATCAGTTCTCACCTTCCACTTTGTGGGGCCAGGAGATCAAATTCAGGTTGTCAGGCTTGTCTGCAAGAACCTTTACACCAGAATCCTCTCACCATCCCCATATTTTCTTTAGTTACTGTGTACAATTACTAAAAAGGTAGTGTGCTAAAATTCAAGAGAGAGAAATCTTAAAACAAATCACTAATTTGTTTTATATTCCAGATTGGGACCAGAAATTAGGCACAATTTCATCGAATCCTAGACCTCTTAATTCATTGCCAGAAGAGAGAAGCAGATTTGAAAGAAATGCTTTTTAAAAATGAAATAACCTCCACATTCCAAGAAAACAACTTGGCATTTTTAGTGACTAAATTAATGGTAACAGAACCACTTTTAATTTAATTATCCATACAGACAGACTTAATCCTAAACAAATCATATGTTATAAATTCTTTTCAGGGTAAGTTGGTCAGGAAATTGAGATCCAGCCTTGAGAACACTTGTTATCTGTTGAAGGGTGAAGCTGTGGTAGAGCGTTTGCCTAGCAGGAACCAGGCCTTGGGTTTGATCAGCAGCACACACAGGAGATGGGGAGGGGAGGGGAGAAGGGAGGGAAGGGAAGAGAGGGAGTTATAGAGAGGGGAGAGGACATGAGAAAGACAAGAAAAAAGGAGAAGGGAAGAGAAAGGGAAACTTGTCTTAAGCTTTGGCCTCTTGTTGCTGAAGCTGGCAGTCCTCAAACCCTCTGATCTTTTTAACAATGTTTATATATGGAATCAGGTAGGATTATACAGTAATTGTATCTGCTTCTAATTGTCATTATCACACACACACACACACACACACACACACACACACACACACACAAACCAAGGGGGAACTAGCCAAGGAAGATGGGGAGACAACTGGAGAGGCTCTGAATACAAACACTCAGGGATAGCATAGGTCTGTAGTAGTGAAATGTGGACTAGTGAGCAACGGGGTTACTTGAAAGTCTGTTTATAGAAGAGTTAGCTCCTCAGCAAGAAGCCAGACAAGGAAGCAGCTACTCTGCAGGCAAAGTTAGAGGGCCCCAAATAAATGAAATGATCCAAGAAAGGAATCTTGCATTCTGGTTGCCGGAGACTCCCCACAGGCAGCCTATCAGTTGGCTTCTTCCTTAGTCCCCTAAAGCAAAGCCTACCTGCTAATAAACTTTCTTCAGCACCAGAGTTCCACAGCTTCCAGTTGCCTTAGTCTTTGACATGGTCAAGGAAGTCTCAAGAGATTTGAAAAAATGATACATGAAAAATAAAGACCAGGGGCTGGAGAGATGGCTCAGCCCCTGGTGAGAGAACTGACTGATTGCTCTTGCAGAGGACCCGGGTTCTCCAGTTCCAGGGGAATCCAACGCCCTCTTCTGACCTCCGAGGCATTGCACGACACAGGTGCACTCACATACATGCAGGCAAACACTCATACACATAAAAATAACACTCAGAAAATAAAAATAATAAATAAAATATATTTTTTAAAAAAAGAAAAATAAAGCCAGGCGTGGTTGCACACGCCTGTAGTCCCAGCACTTGGGAGGCAGAGGTACGTGGATCTCTGTGAGTTCAAGGCCAGCCTGGTCTCCATAGTGAATTCAGGACAGCTGGGGCTACAGGGAGACCCTGTCTCAAAAAGACAAAAAAAAAAAAAAGAAAAGAAAAAGAAAAAGAAAGGCCAAAATATAAAGAATTGAGCTTAGATTATAAAACAAAATTCAAGGGACACAAATGAACAAAAAGCAAGCTAATGAAAACAGCTTGTATTCTCCAGAGAAATGGAATCCATATCATGTATGTGGATTCGTGATGAAGGGCAGGCTAGCGGGATTATGAAGGCTAAAAAACCCCATCATCTGCCATCTGCAAGATGGAGGCCGTGTGGTTCCAGGCCCAGCCCATATGTGAGAACTTGGAGGCAGGGCAAGGGTCTGTAAATTCTGATCTGTCTGAAAGTCTGAGAACTAGCAGCACTGACATCAACATGTCACCAGAGGGCCCCGGTGGCCCTGAGAGGCTAGACATTGCCACCCATCTCCCATCTCTCCTGCAAGGTGGTCTGACAAGATGTCAGAACTGTGAATTGCAATCTCTTTCCAGCAGACAGACTCTTCCTCAGGCTGGCAGCTGGGCCTTTCCTTTTCCCAATGAGACACCTGGGGAAATTCCAATTTCTTGGGGACCACTGTCTCAATAGTCTGAGAGCCAAAGGGAGGGAAATGTCTCAGCATCTTACACCATTCAGGTTCTTTTGTCCGTAGACTGGTAACAGACAACAGTTAAAAAAAGCTTTACAAAGAGCTGAATGGCTCTGTTAACTCTAGCTCCATGGGTAACCCTCACCTTGAGCCTCCATGGGTGCCTGTATAAGCACACGCACACAAATAATTAAAAATGAAAAAACTTTTTAAAAGCTGTACAGAGGAGCTGAAGAGATGGCTCAGTGGTTAACAGCACGGGCTACTCTTGCAGGGGATCTGGGTTGGATTCCCAGCACCCACAAATATCTGTAACCCCAGTTCCAGGGGATCCAACACCCTCTTCTGACCTCCACAGGCATTGCACTACATGGGTGCACTTACACACATACAGGCAACACACTTATACACATAAGAATAAAAAGAAAAAGAGCTTTACAGAAACACAACAAAAATATTGGAAAAAAAACTAGTTTGGAAATTAAGCACTAGTTTACAAAAGTACTCCTTAGGGGAGCACATCACCTGTTAACGAGGCAGAGCTTTGGAGCAAACCATGTTCAAAACATGTCTAATTATGTTTACTTAAAGAGAATAGCTGAAGCTGGGCATGGTGGCACATGCCTTTAATCCCAGAGGCAGAGGCAGGTGGAGCTCTGAGTTCAAGGCCATCCTGGTCTACATAGTGACTTCCAGGGCAGCTGGGGCTACAGGGGGATCCTGTCTTTAAAAGACCAAAA